AGCAGCAGAGCAGCCACAGAGGCCACAACAACAACTCCACCAGTAGCAGCAGTCCAAAGTACGGCAGCGCCACGCAACGCACTCAACACAATTCACCGCGCAATGTTTGTCAATCCACTCGAATAAATAAGCGAGCAACGGCCAAGTGACAACTCGACGACCACGGCAACCCAGCAGCCAGACGATCGAGCCAAAAACCTCCAAATACACAATGAATAAATGAACGAATGCGAACGACTGTTTAAGAGTAGCGAATCAAACACACAAACAATTTTAAGTGCCTGGTAGTTGCTTGCTTGCTGTGTACCAGGGGAAGTATTGTGGGTCTCTTGAATAGAGTGGAGCACTGAGGCGGGAATACAGAAGGCATGAATTGAATGGATGGTTGATGAAAATACTTTACAGCTTTATTGGTTGCATACATCCAACTGACAAAACAACATACGAAAGCAAGTAAGCAAACCGACACGTCCGTACTCCACTCAGTATGCGCACACACACAAAATCATTTGGTCATTAGAATGCATACATTTATATGCGCATATTGGTTTTCATTACAAATATGTGCAAGACTTTGTACCACCCTGTAGGAAATGATTACTGTACTGTTTGAGTTTTATGCAACTCTGTTAGGGTATTCGGTATTTGAGAAACGTAGACTGACAACGAGTACAATATTAGATTGGCTGCAAAACTTTTGTTACTTAAGTTGTTATGTAAAATTGTGAATTTCAAAAAGTTTAGTTTGCATATACATATGTAGGTATATCGTATGTACATACTCGTATATGCATATATTTGCGAATAGTTTCCGAAAATTTGAAGTTGATCCGGCAAATATTAGGTAGGCAAACTTCCGCTGTTTGTCAATAGATGGCTCCGGCAGTTAGTGGTGATCGATTTTGTTATATCCAAAACGTGTTAAACTTTACCTAGACATTTGAAAAAAACAGCGTTTCCACTTTAGTGACTTTGTTTATGTGTCATAGTGATTCTGCTGCATGACAATGCTCGGCTTCATGTTACCAAATCCGTTAAAACCTACTTGGAAACATCTAAAGGGTAAGTCCTACCCATGTCCGCTTGTTATTTGTTCCGTTCGATGTCACATGGTATGGCTCGGAAGCAGTTCCACTCACAAGACGACATTAAAAAATGGCTTGATTCTTGGATAGCATTACAAGATGAACAGTTTTACCGTAGTGGTTTTCGAGTTTTAGCAGAAAGATGGGAAAAAGTTGTGATTAGCAAGCAAAACTTCGAATAATTCATTTGTAAGCATTTCCTTACAATTAAATTGCATTTTCATGAGAAAAGCAGCTTGAACTTAGTTGCGCAACTAATAGTTTCGGTGGTATGAGCGTATTTGTATGAATTATTTAACTTAGTATAATCAGCATCCAAAACTTTAAACGCGTTTTTCTCAAAACGCCGTTTTCCGAGTTCGATGTGGAAAATTTCTCCGAAATGACTTGAAATTTACACATAATTTTCTTAGATATAATTGTCAGGTAATGATCAAAGGAATAATATTTAACATAATAATTTCGATTTTTAAAACCAGTCTGATGTGTAAATTTTTTCACAAAACACAAAAGTATTTTTTTAAAAAGCTCGAAAATATCAAATTTTTATCAGCCCTTCGATCATTACCCGTATTTATCTATAGTAATAATAATAATATGTTTTTGTTTTTGGTGTTGAGGTAATTTTAAGCGGAATAATTGTCCTCAGCGCCAGACAGTTTTATTCGTTACATAACAAAAAAACATTTTTTTCTGACTTTCAATTGAATATATTTTTACTATTTTTTTGTTTAGATGACACTTTGACACTTAAGAGCGATATCGAAAATTACGAATACGTTTTTTAGTAGTTGTTCAAATTTAAAATATCTGGGAATGTTTCATAATATAAACCAGACCAGTTGCTCTGGGATGAGATTCATTCTCTTTATTTACTTCTAAGCATCCACGATTCTCACATCCTCCATTAATATACTTTAAATAAATTATTATTTCATTGTTTAAGCATGAGTAGATTCAGCAGATTTTTCCTACCGACCCAGCAACATAAGTGGAACGTTATACGACTTTTGTGCTGATTGTACAATATACTTGTTTGGTTGATGAGCCGTCGCGGGCGAAAAGGGGGAAGATATCGCGCTGTACGGCAAATTATATTTAAGTGGTGCGCCGTTTCATGCACACAACCACAGAGGAATAACGTTCGAAGTTGGCTGATTGTTGAGTGGTGGTGGCAGCGCGTCGACTGAGGTTGCCTGTCTGCTTCACTTGATCACTAGCCTGCCGTTGTACTGGCGAATTTATGCCGCGCTGTATCGCATTGTGCAAAGCTACTCATTGCCAGTGAAGTGTGGATGAAGGGTGCGCGCAAAGGGAGCGAATGGGTAAAATTTGTTGGATGTGTTATTAGTAATGTTGTTAAGTTGTTATGTAAGTATGTATGCACATACAAACTTTTCACTGGCCTTTACTGTTTATACAATTTCTTCTCATGCGCGCAACTCTCCGCGCTCTCTTCAATTGCTTTTGCTTGGCTTGTTGTAATTTTCTTGCTTTAATGTTTTATGTATTTTTATTTTGTTTTTGTAAATTCTTTTTCTACAACCTTGCACAACCCTCCGCATAGTCAACTATATACTTACATACACACATACTATGTACTTGCAACGTGGTTTTAATGGGAAGGTGGTGTTAGGCAAGACATGGGTAAGCGCGGACGAGTGGGTGGTTACTGTGACTAGTGGATTGGATGATATACATAGTATGTACATATGTATATAGTAGGGTGCGGTTTGGTATGGAGAATAGTGGCAATGTTTACAGTACAACGGCGTTAATTATACCCTGACACCTGAAGTTTATACGGATCCAAGGCAACCGTACAATCTCCAAACAAATTGTTCAGATCGGACCACAATATCTTATAGCTGCCATACAAACTGAACAATCAAAATCAATTTCATGTATGAAAAACTGTTAATTTGACGAGATATCACCACGAAATTGGCATAGAATATTGTCCAATACAATACTACAATCAATGCATAAATTGTTTAGATCGGAGCGCTATATCATATAGCTGCCATACAAATAGAATGATCAAAATAAAGTTCTGATCAGGAAGATTTTTTATTTGTGAAGGCTGTTATAGTTGCGGTGATAACGTTTTTTCGTGTTTTTATAAATTTTTCGAAGTGTTTTGTATTTGTTAAACTTTTAGTTAAAGTTCCAAAAATCTTGAAAAATAATAAAACTGATATTTTATATGGTTGAAAGGAGTTTACCACTTATCGCTGTCCTACTGTACTATGAAAACATTATCGTGACAAAGAAAAACAATTTTCTAATAACTAATTAAAGGCGATTGCAGCTTTTCCAATTTCTAGACCTGCTAAGTAATAAGCAGGCCAGCAGACAGTCGTGAACATTTATATACAAACACATTAAAATATACTAGCGTGAATATACAAAAGACCGCACATTTATTCATACAAACCTCTGTACGAACACATATACATATGTATGTGTGTATGTGTATAGGTAGCGTGGAACTAAAATGTTCATGGGTATTGTGTGAATGCTAAATGGGGTTTGAAATTAAATTTTGCATTAACATCACGTTTATTTAAAGACATTAAAAGTGTTAGACAAGGATTTTATTAGCATGAAAAGTAACCAGTATCTTTGTTACTATGAAGATGTTGTTTAAAGTTGCTCTAAGCTGTAAAATAAATTGTGCACACACATACATGTAGCGATATTTTCGATACGGGTGGTCTCTCTATTGGCTTTTCAACAAAGAATTGATTGCTTTTGAGATTAACAAAGAATACAGCGCAGCGTCAGCTCTATATAAGCACATACATACATATGTATGTATATATGAACATACGAATGTATGTGTTTATTGTCGATATTCAGTTTCTAAATTGTTAAATGAATAGCTTGCGACTCTTACTCTCATTACTGGATGTTAGCGTTCGTTTATGCATACATACATAGATATGCATGTTAAATTGTACGTTGAAAATTAGAACAAGTAAAGAAATGCGGCATTAAAAAATTGTCGATAATCATATGTCTTGTATATTATTTTATAGCAACTTTTAATTTTTTCCTGACCGTTTGGAATAGAACTTCTTAAGACCCTATGAACTCGAGTCTTCGTTTATAAGAAGACATTTAACATTTAACATTTGATGTGCTGAAAACGTAGTTGAGACACACTTATGCCTTAATGGGCTAGTCTACTTTCGCGGTTAAAAAAATCGATTGCATATATCTTATGTAGACATAACTCGAAACATACCCTATAAAGAAATAAGATCGAAAGCATGTTGGTTTTCGAAATACCGAGCCCCAAACTCAAACCGGCACTGACTATTCGTTCGGTTAGGCAGCTTAAAAAGCGGTTTTTTAGCTTTCGCAAGATTCAAGAGAAAACTATAAAATATATTGGTAATCTGGTAATTGTTACTGATTCACAAAGCATCTCGGTATGTTAAAACATGAGCTTTTTATGACTTTTTTTGTTATATTGTTCGATTGCCAAGCAGTCGACACCGTCGAACCGGAAGTGATGCTTTCAGTACGCCTTGAGGGCAGAGTTTTGTAAAAAATAAGTAGTTTTTTCCCAAAGTTTGATCACGAAGCTAAGCGATCCCATTAAGGGATAAGAAATATAAAATTAGAGGCCCAATAATTCGGCAGAAACTTTCCAGACTGCTTTGTGTCCCGGTGTGTGAGGCGAAGGCTTTGTTAATTCACACGTTTTTATGCTATCGAAGGAGCCAACGTTACCGAGTGAGCGTTACACAAAATTTATGCACGACTTTTAGGTTCCTTAACATTAATTACCGATGTACTAAATTTTAGTAAGTAAGATATTGTAACAATCTACCATATACATATATGTACATCGCGTGCCACTAACTGATTAATATTGATCGAACTTACCCCCCCGCTTATTTGTAGTTTGGGCCGCGCAGCAGTCAGAAAATCGAAGGTCTCGTCAGCCTTAATCCGCCCCTTTGCTGTTAATGGATTTTATAAGGTATTTATTATATATTATGTTTCTAAGCAATTTGAAACGGAAACTAAAATATGACATGAACATTGCATACTTTATTTACAGTTATAGATAATAAAAAAAGAAACATTTATATTACATATAAACCTAATTAAAAGAATTTATGATAACCTACCCTTAAATAATATTTTTTCAGGTGTACTCTGCAGGTTGTGCACTTACTCTCATACCTATGTATGTATGTATATATGTATGTATGTATGTACATATGTATACTAAATAGAACTGAAACTCAATTAGGAAGCGGAAATATGCTATTTTGCCATACTCATGTAGACGTAAGGGTTGTTATTCGAATACGAACTTAAAGTTTTTCATATTATACATGATATCTGTCAATATGAAGTGTTTTCAGACTCCAAATTCCCCAGGGAATTACTTACATATTGCTATTTCTAATGTTTAATATTTATAAGTATGTTTTGAACGATTGCTCGGTAATTTTGTGTTATAGATCAAATGTTAGCAAAAAAAAAAACGGTAATAAGGCAGGGAAAATCTATGGCTGCAACAATATTAAGTGGATATCGAAGTGGACCTATCAATTTTTGCGGTTGATATAGCATAGATAGTATTTTGTAATTGACTTTTATACAATGATTGACTCCAACTTTTCTTTGTCGATTGGACCAATACTTTATTATCTGCACAGCCCCCTAATGGAGTGGGGTCGGTTAGTGAATGTTTCGGACGACGTAAAGCGTGGGATTTGCTAAAGTCTTTTTACAAAGCTATCATAGTCCCGAACTAGCTAATCAGTGGTTTTTAAAATTAGTAAACAAGGGGAGCAGTCGAATAGTGGAATGACCATAGTTTCTGCGTAAAGAATCGTCGTCAATCGACAACTTGCAACCTTTAAGGTGATAACACGAGGTTTGTTCAAAAAGTATCGCGAATTTTGTTTTACTTAAGAAAGTGTTTATTTAATCATGAATAACTATTTTGTCTCCTTCAAAGTAATCACCCCTAGATATGCCAGCATTTTTTTCCAATCCTCAAAGCACTTAAAAAAGTAGTTTTTTGCGATCTTGTTCAGCTCCTCGTTCGATGCAGCTCTTATCTTCTCAATCGTAGCGTAGCGTCGTCACTCTGGGGTCTGGGGAATGGTACGAGCCAATCGATATGTTTAGTTCCTCAGAAATTTTTGTAGTGGTGATTCGACGATTGGCCAATACTAGTTTCTTCACTTCATTCATGTTTTCGTCTGTTGTTGACGTTCGGGCATCCGGCATGCTCTTCTTCGTTCACATCTTCTCGACCCGCTTAGAAGATTTCATATCAATGATAAGCGTTGCTTTTATCCAAGAAGCTTCATCATATGCCACATTCGGTTTAACGCAATCAATTTAATGCAAGGATAAAGATTTTAAAAGGGTCAACGCTGCATTGCGATGCTTCTAGAAGACTACCAGTAAATGTCGACAATTACAACATGAATTATGTATATATGTACATATATTTCTCATAAATGCCTAAGTATTAACGCAGAAGTTGCGACGCAAGTAGAATTGTAACGAATCAAGGGTTTCCGCATACTACGTCTAACATACACTCAAGATCAAATTTGACTCGGACTGGTCCATTAAAAATGCGCGCACAAACCAAAAGTTTTCCTTGGTTGGCACAACCTTTTTATGTTCGTGTGAAGTCAATTAGTGTGTTTGCCAGCCATTTGTTTACGACGCAAACGGTTTGTATGACGATTTTTATATATTGGGTATATGGACTCATAGCACGTTTCCCCAAGCGTATTTTTCAGTTTCAAAAACAGAAAAAAGTACCCGGGTAGCCAAATCAGGCGCATACGGTGACTCTCGTTTTGTGTGCCCTTAAAAAGTCAATTTTAATCATGTTAGAATGTGACGGCGCATCCAGGCTTTTAGGTACGAGTCTTCATACCTAGGGTTCATACCCAAAACATTAACCAAATTGGTTGAGTCGATCAATAAAAAATATTGAGATCCTATCTATTGCAACAATCGAGAAAAAAAATCGTTATCGTTTTGGTTTGCGCGCGTATTTTAAATGGACCCGTGTGAGTTAAGTTTGATCTTGAGTGTATATGTACTAAGCCGGCGGGGTACGTTTAACTGCACCAATATAGGTATGTGAGTACAAACTGTGTCCAAAGCTATGCATGAAAAAGTAGAGTTCAAACAAATGCATTTTTTTAACAAACAGAACATTATGATTTGGATTATCAACACGCTTATGTCAACGTTATCTTTGCAAAACTCTGCGGTATCTGGAGAAATTTCTTGCATACGTCGCCGCTGAATTACAATTCCAACAGTTATCGAGATGGAGTGATCATGTCTTCTTGGATGTTGTCGCTCTAACCACAAACGTTTTTGTTATGTTGATAAAATTTCTTTTAGCAGATGTAAAAACCTTCGGTACTTCATATGAGCGACACCGCAGAAAATAGTTGAAAACATAAGGACTGAAGATATCCCGGTGTTAGATCGGCCAGGGTAATCTTTTATAAGCGCGGAGGTCGTCAATGCAGTAAGGAGCTCTCAATATAGTCATACATGACATATATGTAACTGTGTTAGGTTTAGATTGTCTGCGCATGATAGCCATTAAATTTTTGCGGCGGTGCCGTTAATATATACGTGTGTATTTAGGTACTAAACCTTCTAAGCAGTACTCTATTGATTCGAGCGATGCTCTTCGTGTTGTATATCATTTAAAAGCTAAGCTGTACAAATTTTCGATTAAAAGGAATAAAAATAATGGAAAAAGGGCTTCAACTTTGCCACAAATGAAAAGTTTAATTTGTCTTGTCTTTTAATTACATTGTCAAAGACATATTTCATATCTTACGGAACTATATTCAAAGTATATAATTCAAAGAAACTCTGGAAAAGCCCTGAATCGACATTCATTGATTTAAGTTTTTGTATGTAAGTGAAATAAAAGGATTAAAATGAAGTGAAGAAAAATATAAAAATTAATAACGCATTTAAAACAAAATGCTTGGTTTTTTAAATATCTTTTTTTTTGAAACAATGAATAGAATTAAGTAATTTATTTATTTATGTATACCCTTGCATATATTTACATGCACATGTATATTCATATTACAATAAAAATATATACACATGCTTCAAAGCAACAATGACGCTTTATATCACGCCACTGCCGACTGAACACTAAAACATTTCATATTTTTCAAATACAAAACGCAAAAGGCAGACATCGGATTGAAAAAGGGAATACGACACTCGTGTGCCTAAGAGCCATCACCCACTATTTTCACACTCACAAGACAACACAATAGGCTGTTATTTCTCCCACCTTCAGTCGGTTGCTCTCATTCGCACACACATTTAGCAATACCAGCATCAAATAACCGGACCAAGTACGCCACCAACAACAGCGAACACTGTGACTGAATTGTATTTTGTTGGTGTCCCGCCTGCTACACGCCGTTACTGCATTACTTGCAGCCACACCACTGACGCGCGAGCCAAAATGAAGTTAGTTGCTTCGGCAGCCATCGGTTTCGTTGCCGAAATACGACCGTTGTCAGAAGTGGCCAATCAAGCTGTTCGCCAGCCGAAGGGTGGGCGCGGCCGCAGCGGCAACGATTCGCCCTATCACTTTCGCACACAATCATTGAGTCTTTAACCATTTCATTCTTACTTTTATGAAAGGCGCGTATAATAGGGATGGGACAGGCAGTTGCTGAATACGAACGTTAAATAACGAACGTTAGCAATGCTAAAGACGAAGGCAGTCTAACAGATTCTCCACCATCCTTAGCTGTTGATACACAATAAGAGAGGGAGAGTTGTTCGATGTTGCTGTGAATGTTTGCGCCTTCATTTATATTGGTGAAAAATTGTATTGGATATGTGAGAGTGGTTATTAAACTGAGAAAGTGTTAGTTTTTGGGTGGTGGGGTTATTCGTTGATACTTCGTGCTTGGATTCGGATTAATTTTATCTGCGTCAATGTTTATGGCCGAGAAAAATCGTAAGGGCACAGTGACTCATAATACAAAAATTGTAAATAAAGATATTGGATTTGTCGAAGCGCTAGAAATCTGAAATATTCATTAAACTACTCATTTGGTGTTATGAAATTGAAGTCATTGTAGTATGAGGGAGCTATTTACATATGTATATTTATATTCATAGCCAAATAGTATATGAATAAAGTGACATCTCAATCCTCTTGTGGCGACATAGTCTTTAGTAATACCGACAAAGTAAGACGATAAAAAGTAGTTCACCAATAATAAGAATGTTTGCAAATAATTCATTGAAAAAATAATTTAATTAACACTTAAATAAAATTTTGTTTTTATTTTGTTATTCCGAAAGTCTTAATTAAAAATATTTTACAAATTTCTAATCGCAAAAATAGAATCGGTTTGAAAAATTAAAACTAAATTTATAATCTGAATTACCGAATTCAAAAATAAAAAAAATGTTAATGCCAAGTTTTTAATTAAAAAACAAATGTTTTTGAAATGTTTAAAATTTTTTTGCGCTTGCGTACTTCTCGGGAGTGGTCGGCAAACTTATGGTACATTTTTAAACGATTTATATGTTTTATACATTTTTAATACTGATTTTAAAATTGAAATTAGATTTTTAACTTTTAACTCCAATTTCGGAAATTAGAAAGTTGTATTATTAAACCAAATTTTTTTAATTATAAAACTCACAACCCAAGTTAATAATTAAAATTATGTTAAAGAAAATATTAAAGAAACTCTTTACATTTGCTTAATTAAGGGAATATAAAATTATAAGTAATTGAATAAGTAGCAATGTGCGAGTTCCTTCAAGGGCACAGGTTATGATTTTATTTTTTTGTATTGATTTATATGCTATGCTGCGTATATTTTCGTTTTCTTTTCTGACTCTAGCGATATCGGCTGTAAGATCTGTTACAACTGCAATATATAATTGGGGCTATAGCCTTAATATCGATCGCATTTTATATAT